GGCTCGAAACAGGAGAGTCAAGACGCTGAAGGTGAGGAGGAAGTCGCCGTGAGTGACAAGGAGATGGAAATGATACTTAGCCATACGTGTGTGTGTGCGTGTGTGTGTGTGTGTGTGTGTGTGTGTGTGTGCTTGTATGTGTGTGTGTGTGTGTGTGTGTGTGTGCATAAATATATATGGACGGATCGATGATGTATGTATATATATATATAAGCATATATGTATTGTATATATATTGTATAAAAAATATATATATATGTACACATGCGATGATGACTTTAATGGTTATAATTATAACAGGGTGAATAATGACAAGCATAATGAGAATTCTGAAAAAGAAAATAAAATGGTAATAACGATAATAATGATAACAATATTGATAACGGCAACAACAAGAAAAACGATCGTAATTAGAATACTATCTACCATTAGTAAAACGAACCATCTGACTTGGCATGAAAATTCAAATAAAGAAGAAACGGCAACTCACGCAGTCTCGGTTGAGAAATAATAACAGTGTCGTTGAAGGCACTAAATTCAAGTAGAAGTAATTAGATTTTTTTTTTTCTAATATACGTTTGAAAATGCAAAACATAAGCGGGGAAAAAAAAAAATTAACGAATCCTAAATCCGGTTGTGAGTTGCCAGTTTTTCCTTTCCGAACGCATTAGAATTAGTTTATAATTCTCTTCCACACAGCGGCAACTAAAAGAGCAAGAGGCTGAATGTGGACGACTGAGCTCGGTGTTGGAAGCGAAAGAAATCCAAATAAACCAATTGGAAGTAAGTGTATGTATGTATGTATATATGTGTGTATGTTTACGCTACTGACGTGAGGCTTCGTATTGTGCATACAGTGTGTCTTTCTTTGTGTTTGTGTGTGTCTATTTCTTTGTGTTTGTGTGTGTCTATTTCTTTGTGTTTGTGTGTCTATTTCTTTGTGTTTGTGTGTGTCTATTTCTTTGTGTTTGTGTGTGTCTATTTCTTTGTGTTTGTGTGTGTCTATTTCTTTGTGTTTGTGTGTGTCTATTTCTTTGTGTTTGTGTGTGTCTATTTCTTTGTGTTTGTGTGTGTCTATTTCTTTGTGTTTGTGTGTGTCTATTTCTTTGTGTTTGTGTGTGTCTATTTCTTTGTGTTTGTGTGTGTCTATTTCTTTGTGTTTGTGTGTGTCTATTTCTTTGTGTTTGTGTGTGTCTATTTCTTTGTGTTTGTGTGTGTCTATTTCTTTGTGTTTGTGTGTGTCTATTTCTTTGTGTTTGTGTGTGTCTATTTCTTTGTGTTTGTGTGTGTCTATTTCTTTGTGTTTGTGTGTCTATTTCTTTGTGTTTGTATGTAGGTGTATAACGTTGTATTATTCAGATTGTATTTGTGTAAGTGTACGGCATAAATAAAGGTTATTTCCCTCTTGAACCTTCAATGCCAAACGTACTTATTAACACCATACTGCCTGGCGAGAAGACCGTATCCTGGTTCGGAGAGAAAGACAACTTAAAAGGTGCATCACGTTTCGTAGATCGTGAATTTAGTTGAATATAATTTTCATAATGTGGCTAGTTAAATTCTTGAATATTTCACTCAGTGGATCGGAGCTTTTGGGTGCCTTGGGTGTATTTTGAAATTTATGAAATAGATAAAATACAAATTAAATGATTGGTATTAGGCAGAGAGGATGATTAACAGTGAAAAAGACAGAGGGTAAATTTCGTATAAATATAAATATTAATATTTTTTAGGATCAACTTGAGGAAAAAGACAAGAAGGTCAGGACTTTGCAATCGCGACTGGGCGATAAAGAAAATCAGTTAAATGAATATCGGAAAGTAGACGAACATGCACACATATGAAAACAAACAAAGAGAAACGCACGCACACACAAATACACGTGCGCACACACATATATAGATCAGTAGATTGATAGAGATGTTGCTGATACGTTTCTTCTGTTTGGGGTATAGGAGTCTCTTCAAGCACGGCCGCCGGATACTTCGCAGCGCCCGGATTCGCCTGTGCCTGTGTCACCCGACGGCCTCGCATGCAGGGAGAAATTCCCACGGGGAGCGAGGAGGAAAAAGTCTCGGCGAGCAGCAGACACCGAAAGATCTTCGCAAGCAGAAGGCAGGGGGAGGAACAGAGCTTCTCGGCTAGAAGACAGAAGGCAGAACGAAGATCCCCAGCCATCCAACCAGACCAGGACTCCGCAAGCAGGAACCGGGAGGAGAGGAAATCGTCGGCCATGCGAAAGGTCCGAGTCTCCCCAAGCACGAAGCGAAGACGAGACCCCAAACGAAGGAAGCGAATACGAGTTTTACCAGTCTTCTCAAGCAGAGACTGAAGACGAATCTCCAGGGGAATATAGCAGGAATTAATATCCACGTGCGGCGAGCGAGTTCCACCTCCTGCATTTGGGCGAATGGACGGAGAGAGAGAAAACAGAAGCTGAGGGGGAACGGGTTAAGAGCAAAGAAAAATAATGAAGTTCATGTAGGTGTCCAATACATTCTAATTATACCGTTTAATGCTACTCTTTTTATCAAGAACATTATGCGATACGATGTACAAAAGACAAACGCCTTCGCAATAGACTTAACAAAACGTGTCTATATTTACCTGGCAGGTGCAGATTAAAAGTAATAATGATAATAGAGGATTATTAGCATATTTGTTGCTCTTGTTAGCATTATCATTATCAAATATCAATATCATTATTATTATCATTATCATGATCCTCACCATCATTATGATAATTAGTATTTACTTTTCTCTGGATAGTTAATTACCGAATATGTCTTTTTATACTGAACACATCTAATGGATGATTAATCGCATGAAACACACAAAAAAAAAACAGTTGTAGTGTTTTCTCTGCGACTCTAAACAAATGTGTCTAAATATATTGTCAACGTGTTTCTATTAATACCTTTCCTTTTCACTAGATCCTTATAAAGAGTTGAAATCTTTGTTCTAGTCGCAACATTTCTTTTAATTGGTCATCGTCTTATAAAGGTTCGTGTTCATTCTGCATCTACATATGTTCTTCGGTTATTTACGATGATATTAGTTTACCTAAGTATTATTCTCATTAATATATAATTATTTTCATGTTCATTATTATCAGTATTTTTGCTATTGTTATTGCTATCAATATTATCATTACTATTATTATCATCATCATCACCATCATCAGCCATTATAGTCATTATCATTATCCTCGTCATTAATATTAAAATTATCATCCTCTTAAGTAGTACTATTATCATTACTATTGCTACTATTATCATCCTTATTTTTTTATCATTATTGTCATTATTATCACTAACGTTAGTATTATTATCAGCAGCAGCAGCCTTAATACTACTACCAATTAATTGTTATCATCGATATCATTACTACATATATACCATGATCATATTCACCATTACTGGCACCTTCACCGGCAGGAGGCCTTGATCTGAAGAAAACTATTTATCTCTTTACGTGACAGTTTATTGCTAGCGCCTTTTGAATCCTGATAATAAGTTATATGTTAGCACTGTGTTGCTCAACTTGGGGTTAACACGTATGATGGGTTTCATTAATCAAAAGTGAAAGTTAAAATGTACTTCTAAATTCATTCAGTTCGGCATTAGAACTCAAAAGTGAAATTGTGAATCTTGCTAGGCGCCGCCACGTTGGGATACTTACCAGGAACGAAATTATATAATGGTTATTCTTCTGACTGCATAATTCTGGTATTGTATGTACTTACTAATTAAACACTATTATCTGATAAATTCCAGTAACATAGTATTGAAAGTGATAGAAACCCATAGATCTACAAAAAATATACATATATGATAATAAAAGAATATGACGATCTATTGATTCTTAAAAATATATATATTATGAAATAATCACATTACTCTGCCTTAACATTGACCTAGGCAATAATCTAAACCTTTACTGCACCTACAACGGCCTTACTCCTCTCTGCGTACAAATATATGTAAAGAAATAATGCTAAACGTTATTGACAAAGATAAAGGTCATAACAAAATCAGGGGAGTCAGCTGAGCTCAAGAGAAACACAAATATATAAAAGGTATGAATGAGAGTGAATATCAATGCAAGAGATGTATTTGACCGGTTTTGAATTATATCTTCGTCAGAAATACATGTATTTCTGACGAAGATATAATCAACACTGATCAAATACCATATCTTACATTGTGAAGATATTCATTTTCATCCATACCTCTTATACATATGTCAACATGAATACGGTTGTGAAACACGAATGGCTGGAGCAACCTCCCCCCCCCACACACACACACACATACCTCTCTCCAATTGTTGCAAATTCTGGCTATGTCTTCTTTCCATCCTGCTCTCCATCGAAGATAAATGAACAGGGGCATTGCTAGTATGTCATTTTACGGCGCAGCAGTAACCACTTGAGTTTGTAAGAGAGACTAGGAGAGAGGGAGCGTCGAGACTAACAAATCGATGTTAACGAAATTATAGACATTTCCTTTCTCTACACGATATGAATGGGTGTACGTATCTATCTAGAACATAGTATTATGCAGTTTCCTATTATAGTGAATCAAAGACGGAAATTGGTTATGAAAATAATAATTTACGAATGCAGTTTCCCCTGTGTGGTCCCCGTTAAAAGAATCCAAACTATGACATGACCCAAAGTACCCATTACAACACTATATCATTACAGTAAAAAAAAGACATACACAGCACAGAAACATACATTTAAAATCCATAAAATCAAGTACCAGTGCATGTTACAAGATAATCATTTAATCCCCCTAAATATATTGTTCCACGTATTTTGAGCGCCTCTGCAGTATGAGCGAATTACTCCTTGTGAATATTCTGGCGTCACGGCTCTCATGACACCACTTACGAATAAGAAAACGTTACTACTACTATCAGATGGCGATTACAGCTCTTTGCTAGTTACTGTTATTATTAATCTTATTGTTGTTGTTAATATTATTAATATTACTATTATTTGATAATTTATCATAGTGTAAACAATTAGTAATCGCAATGTATAGGCATGATGATCATTTGCCTTTATATAAAATATGTTTGAAACGGAATATGAACAGAGGTGGTGGGTATAAGCAGTATAATCTTATAGTTTTTATTCGAACTAATTTTCTAGTTTTTTTTTTTTCGTCTACGTAACTATGAAAATATCACCCAATGAAAATGAGCATCTTCGATAGTTTCTATTTATACACAGTTGATGTATGTGTTAGAAAAGCATGATTCCTGGAAAAGTTATAAAATTCGTACGATGTGTTTAGGTGGCCAGGTCAGGACAAATGACCTATTGTAAGTTGACAGGTAAGTCAGATCAGGTAATCAAAGGGAGAAAAATAGAGAGAAAGAAAAGTTTCCTTTTACACTGCGAGATGGTTGGGATGGAAAAGACGGGGAAATAGGGAAATAGAAAGAGAAATGTGATATGAAACACGCAAAAGATAACTGCTAATCAACATTTGTACACTAATTTGAGAGGGGAATCGTCTTTGTGGTTCCTAGACTTTTTTTTTTACGCACACGGGAACTTCCGACATCAGCTGTTCCATTTCTAAATATGTATCTTGAGTAACCGGTAATCTGTGTTTTTTTTTTCTCTCTCTCTCTTTTTTCCTTCTTTTTTGCTTACCTAATCCGGCACCCGCTGGTCTATTTGTAAATTTTCTAACTATACATCTAAAAACAATACTCAGTAATATGTACATGAGTTATTTACCTACTTATAACACAATATTCTTGGAAAGCATGGCTTCATATTCCTACGCGAACAACGAAGAACGCCAAGCACACTAATTCTGTTGTCTGTGTTGTATCGTCTAAAGAGCGTGTGCGCCAGAGTTGGTCTTTTCAACAATAGCAATAGATCCTTAAGAAATTTATGTCATAGATTTTTATATCATTCCGGAGTCATTTCGGATAATGGCTCGTATCTCTGTCACTCAAAACACCACCATCCTTTTCTGGTCCTTTGAATCTGAGGGCCTTTGTACCTCAAGACATTAGGGTTCGCTTCCACCCCCACCCCCAGTGTGTAAAGAAAATCACGAAGGAGTTGCATTAGGATCATAAAACATAGTAAAAAGTATTTCATAATATATCCTTTTATTTACATTTCATCATATTCCATATCCATACCCATAAAGAAAAAGCGTAAAGATCTTCATCTTTAGTTTAAATTTAAACGGTTAACCAGAAAAAATATGAAATAGATATATGTATATATATATATATGTTGGTGTGTTTGTGTGTGTGTGTGTGCGCGTGCGTGTGTGTGTATGTGTGTGTATTCTTCGCTTCTCTTACATAAACACCACTTACTCTGACAAATGGGAAACAACAAAGTTCTCTCCTTGGGACAATATCTGACAGTAAAGTAATAACATCATATATAAGACAATGACCAATTAGAAGAAATGTTGTGACAAAAGCACAGATTTGGACCGCTTACAAATGATAGTGACAGGAACACTTGCCAATATATTTATACGTGTTTCCTTAGAGTCTCAGAGAAATACTACAGTATAACAATAATATAACAATAATAGTTACAATAGCAGCAATGGTATAAACATGATTTTAACAAGAACAACTGATTCTAATAATAATAATGGTAATAATATTATATTCTACAATACTTTAACCGCCGACCACAACACGCACTGTACAGTACGTATGCGTATATTCATTTCATCTGTGTATATATGTATGTATATATTTGTGTATATATATATAATTTTGCCTTTTATCTAACTCCTGAAATAAACTAAAACGTATACATATTATTGAAAGATACAGCCGCATGGGAATATTCCTTATTGGCCTACTTGTGTCCAACATGGTCAGCCCTCTTCGAGCCGGTGGACAGCGCATATGGGATCCTTTATCAGTCTCTACGCCTCGTATGGGTAGCCAACCTACGGCCCGAAGATGACAATTCAGGCGCATGAGGGGGAAAAAAGGTTCTAGTCCCGCCATCTGTATAGCGTTCGGGAGAGGATTCTGTTTTACAAATAGTGGTTCGGCTTCTGGGGACACTCGCGTCGGGCAGATTCACTCTCGTCTTCGGAAGGTTCTGGGTTGTGCGGGTGTGTGAGAGCCGCAAAGAGTAAAGTCCTTGTCTCGATGGTGTTGAAATGAACTCAAAGACGAAAACATTATATGTAGGAGCATGGTCGTGGGTGATATCGCATAGAGGTAACAGCTCAACAAAAGCAATATACTAACAGCGTCGTGTGTCGTGTGGGTGCTGAGGGTCAAAGCGTGTTCAGGACTATGTGATGCTAGAGTAGTTGGTTATCCGCTGTTCGGATGTTTTCGTGTCAGTGTCGTAGAGAGTCGTGCTGCAATGTGTCAAGTCGAATCGTGTTCTCTTGATGGTAACGCGAGAGAGGGTCGTGTTTGATGTGGTCAGTGGGTGGGGACGGAGGGGTGGGGTGATGGGGGGTGGGTGTATTTGCA